GGGTGTGCAGGAGTGTCCTCTGCCCACAGTGTGTGGGTGGAGTGAGTGTGTGCGTGAGGGTGTGCTGGTGCATCCTCTGCCCACAGTGTGTGGGTGGAGTGGGTGTGAGCATAAGTGTATGCAGGAGCGTCCTCTGCCCATGGTGTGTTGGTGGAGTGAGTGTGAGCATGAGGGTGTACAGGAGTGTCTTTTGCCCATGGTGTGTGGGTAGAGTGAGTGTGAGCATGAGGGTGTGCAGGAGCTTCCTCTGCCCACAGTGTGTGGGTGGAGTGAGTGTGAGCATGAGGGTGTGCAGGAGTGTTCTCTGCCCATGGTGTGGGTGGACTGAGTGTGATCGTGTGGGTGTGTTGGAGTGTTCTATGCCAACAGTGTGTGGGTGTAGTGAGTGTGAGCGTGCGGGTGTGCAGGAGCATCCTCTGCCCACAGTGTGTGGGTTGAGTGAGTGTGAACATGAGGGTATACAGGAGCGTCCTCTACTCCTGCAGAGGTGGAGTGAGTGTGTGAGCGTGAGAGTGTGCAGGAGTGTCCGGTGCCCATTTTGTTTAGGTGGAGTGAGTGTGAGTGTGAGGGTGTGTAGGAGCATCCTCTGCCAACAGTGTGGTGTGGAATATAAGCGTGAAGGTGTGCAGGAGCATCCTGTGCCCACTGTGTGTGGCTGGAGTGATTGTGAGGGTGTGCTGGTGCGTCCTGTGCCCACAGTGTGTTGGTGGAGTGAGTGTGAGTGTGAGGGTGTGCAGGAGCATTCTGTGCCCACAGTGCATGGATGGAGTGAGTGTGAGCGTGAGGGTGTGCAGGAGCTTCCTGTGCCCAATGCATGTGGGTGGAGTTAGTGTGAGCATGAGAGTGTGTGGGATCACCCTGTTACCAGAATGTGTGGGTGGAATGAGTGTGAGCATGAGGGTGTGCAGGAGTAGCCTGTGCCCATGGTGTGTGGGCGGAGTGCAGTCATGGGGTGTGCAGGAGCAGCTTGTGCCCACGGTGTGTGGGTGGGAGAGTGTGAGCATGAGGGTGTGCAGAAGCACCCTTTGTCCACAGTGTGTGAGTAGAGTGTGAGTGTGAGGGTGTGCAGGAGCGTCCTGTGCCCATGGTGTGTGGGTAGACTGAGTGTGAGCCTTTGGGTGTGTAGGAGTGCCGTTTGAGTGTGAGTGTGTGTAGGAGCATCCGCTGCCAACAGTGTAGGGTGGAGTGTGAGCATGAGGTTGTGCAGGAGCATCCTCTCCGCACAGTGTGTGGATGGATGTGAGTGTGAGGGTGTGCAGGAGCGTCCTGTGCCCACAGTGTGTGGGTGGAATGTGAGTGTGAGGGTGTGCAGGAGCACCCTGTGCCTATGGTGTGTGGGTTGACTGTGAGCATGAGGGTGTGCAGTAGCATCCTCTGCCCACAGTGCGTGGATGGATTGAGTGTGAACATGAGGGTGTGCAGGAGTGTCCTCTGTCCATAGTGTGTGGATGGAGTGAGTGTGAATATGAGGGTGTGCAGGAGAGTCCTCTTCCCACAGTGTGTGGGTGGAGTGAGTGTGAACATAAGGGTGTGCAGGAGTGTCCTCTGCCCACGGTGTGTTTGTGGAGTGCGTGTGAGCTTGTGGGTATGCAGGTGCGTCCTCTGCTTACTCTGTGTCGATCAAGTGTGAGCCTGTGGGTGTGCAGAAGCGCCCTGTGCCCATGGTGTTTGGGTGGAGTGAGTGTGAGTGTGAGGGTGTGTAGGAGCGTCCTTGCCAACAGTGTGGTGTGGAGTATGAGCACGAGGGTGTGCAGGAGCGTCCTGTGCCCACTGTGTGTAGGTAGAGTGTGTGTGTGAGGCTGTGCAGGAGCTTTCTCTGCCCTAGGTGTGTTTGTGGAGTGTGTTTGAGCTTGTGGGTGTGCAGGTTTGTCCTCTGCCTACTGTGTTGGGTCAATTGAGTGTGAGCATGTGGGTGTGTGAGCGCCATGTGCCCACGGCGTGTGTGTGGCATGAGTGTAAGCATGTAAAGACATCTGGCGTGCAACTTATGCTTGTGCATGCTCCTCAGACTTTCTGAGTGCACCATGCCTGCTGCCTTGGCAATTGCCTGAGCACCCAGAGCCCCTTGTCCTGATGGAGGACGTGGGCACCTCCCTTCTGCCAGACGTGGAGGACTTTCTTCTTGTGGTCAGCCCCCATTGTGGTGAGCTGGGACCTGGGGAGTGGGCCACAAGGGTTGGGGCGGGGCCCACGCTGAGTCTACATTTTGTGGGCTGCTGCCCACTCCCACTGGCCTCCAGGGCATGTGCTGACCTTGGCTACCTCCCCCCAGGAGTTGAGAGGTGAGTGAGTGGGCTGGTGGCCTCCTGTGCCACATCCCTCCCGGTGCCTGGTGGTCAGGGTTAGGAGGGGGTTTCCCTCCAGTCCCTTCCTCTCTCTGCCTGAGGCTGCCTCTGGTGCCCTGCCCTGGAGAGGCCTCTGGCGTTCTCTCTTGTGAATGGGGCTGTCCATGAGTTATGGATACCCAGGACCTGCAGGGTTCTGGCCGAAGGTGGGGACTGCTCAGACCCCAGGGCAGGTGTGGCTCCACAGCCTGAGAGCAAGGAGGTCAGGAGCTGTGTCCTGAGCAGGAGGCTTCAGTTCCCGGTCAGGACTGGTCCACGCCTGTGAAGCCTGGGGCCCTGGCCGGGGCAGGTGGCCCTGCAGAGCTGTGAGGGTGCCCCTGGGGAGGAGGTGCAGCAGGACACAGGCCTCCTTAGGGCGGTGACGGGAGGACCTCCACTCTGGCTGTGGCCCAGCCCCTGCCAGGAGCCCCTCACCTCTGGGCCTGCAGGTGGAGGTTGCAGACACTCGTCTTGGCAGTGCTGTCGGACCCCGGCACTCTCCTTCCAGGCTTGGGAGGCTTTGCCATGTGGGAGGGGAGATGGCCATGCCCTGGTGCCTGCTGAGGGGCCTCCGGAGCAGGGACTCCTGTTTGGGCCAGTGTGGGGTGAATGCCTTTAATTGAACGTCCTCTTTTCCCACTGTTCCCATTAGCAGTTTTTGGGGAATGGGCTGTCCTCACCCTTGCCTGTGTCTGGGTGGGATCTCGGTGCAGAGAACAGGTTCTGCTGTCCGTCTTCTGGGTGTGTTGGCATCTGGGTGCCGTGGTCCTGGGGTTCTTGGCAGACCTCTGGTGTGTGGCCGCAAGCCCCTGGCCTGTTTAGGAAGGGCAGTGAGACCTTCTCTCCAGAGGCAGCGAGTGACTCCTTTTGAGGACCTGCTCAGGCATCAGTGTGCACTCTGCGTGGTCAGGGGCTGGCAGGGTGCCAGGGGACCAGCCCTGAGCCGCATGCCGGTCCCTGCTGGGCTGGGAGGGGTAGGGCAAAAAGGCGGGCCCGTGAGTGCAGGTTGTCAGGTTCCTTCCTGTGGCAGGTGGCCAGGCCGAGGAGGAAGGGGACCGCTGCCCTGGCTGTCCTTGGTGAACGGCCATGGGCACAAGTTGCTATGGTTGCTTGTTCCTGGAAAGGGGAGGCTGTGGGACGGGCCATGTGGTGCCGGCAGTCTGGGGAGGTGTTTTTGCCTGCGTGGAAGTGCTAATGTGTGAGATATAAAGCGCACCCTCGCCTGTCTGCTGGGAAGCCCTCGCTGCACCAGGCTCTGGGCACCACCCCGGCAGTGGGCCGCCCTCCCACTGTCACGGCCCAGTGGGTAGCTCCACGTGGTGCTGGACGAGAGGTAGTGGGTGCAGGGTGACAGCCCGGTGCTGAAGCATTGGACATTGCTTCCTGTGAAAGTCCTGGGGGTCCACATAGCTGGGTCTCCCCAGATCTCAGTGCCAGGGTGTTACCAGGTCACCAGAGCAGATCTAGCTGGCACCCTCTCCACTCCCCAAACCCACCCTGTGCCAGGGCGACTCCACTGTGATTCTGGGCCCATGCATTTCGGTGTTCCTGGGTCTGTACCGTGAGCTCCCAGGGCCAGCCTCACCTGAGGCAAGGGCCAAGTGTACTTGGGACCTCCAAGGCCTGTCCCTGGTGGTCCCAGGGATGCTGAGCACCTGGAGTGATGGGAGAGGCCAGGCCTTGAACTGCAAGACCCTTCTAGGTGGCCCTGGGGAGGTACTGCTGCCCACCACTTTGGGAGAACCCTGAGTTCTGGCTGCTAAGGGCCACTCCTTCTGTCCCAGGAGGCCTTCCCACAGTCCGGGAGCTGAGTGTGGCTGGCCTGCAGATGCTGTATTATCAGCCACTGTCCTGATACATCATTTATGGACGTTTCCGGTGCTGCCTGGGGTATCAGCAGGAGCATGGGGGCACCGATCCAGTTTGCTTCAGCCTGCAGGGCCCCGTGACCAGGCAGGCAGGAAGCAGCAGCTGGGCCCCGCTGGAGTTTCTGCTGTAAATAAGGTGGGGGTGGTGAGACTGTGGCCCACAGGTCCAGGATGGAGGCCAGTGCCAGGCCCTGGCTCTGTGCACCATCCTGGGCAGAAGAGGCCAGGACTGTTCTGGATCTGGGGTCTGAGCCCTGCTGCCACCCCTGATGTCACTCCCACTCAGCTGGTGCCCTGTGGGAAAGGTCTGCATGGGATCCCAGGTTAGGGGACAAGGACAGGCCCGTCAGCATGGTGGGGATTGCTCTCAGGGGAGCAGCTGAGGCCAGCCTGCCTTCAGGAAAAGCCCAGGGGTGAGCAGTGGGTGGGTGGCAAGGCCTGGGGGCACAGGGATGCCGCTGGAACAAGATGCCCAGTTGGCCGCCCTGTGGTCTGACAGGCAGGTGCCAACTGAGGCCAAAAGCACCAGCCACTTGGGCGGCAGTGAAGGATACCAGGGCTTAGGAGGGCACTGACCATAGTCCTGGCCCCCGGGGTCTGCCTGCTGCCCTGCCTAGGGATGGACAATGGAGGATGGAGAGATGGCTGACTGGGTCCTTTGAGATCCATGGGCAATATCCAAAAGACTGTCCATCACCTGGCATGCCCCACAGGCTTCAAGTCCCCCCTGTAGATAGAGGAGTCCAGGGTCAGAGCCCGAGCAGACATTTACTCTCCTATCTCCAAAAGGTGAACACCCCGTCCCTAGAGCTGGAGACATTCCCAGGGGCTACAAAACATGGTGGCCAGCGCTGCCAGGGGGCCAGGTTAGATAAAGAACCAGTCTTTTCTGCTAGGCCCTGTGTTCCTTTACTGAGAGCCCGTGCTGGACTCTCCTGCTCACACGTTCGTGCCTGGGAACATGGGGGCACCCACGGCCCTCTGGTGACTGTGAAAGCTGGTCCTGCCTGTGTCTGGGGCAGCCTGTGGCAGGCAGGAGGCGCTGGGCTCTGAGTGTTCAGAGGAGGTTCCTTGGCGCTGTGCCCTGGGAGGTCCCCAGTGTGGTCCGCTCCTTCTGCCGGGGCTGCCTGAGCTCTGGGGAGCGCAGGGCCTCACCAAGTCGGATTGGGAGACTCCCTTCAGGCAGGAGTCCGTGGTCAGGGGATGTATGGCAGAACCCCGCTTCCCCACTGCTGGTGTGGCACTCCGCGGGCCACTTGGAGGTCCAGGCTTCCCCTGGTTGATGATGAGGCAGGCCGTGGCAGGGAAGGTCCCTGACTGCGTTCAGAGCCAGGACGGTCCTGTGACTGGGCAGTTGCCTTGCCCTGGCTTCTCCAAGAGCCGCCCGGCACTCAGGTGCTAGGCCTCCAAGGGCGCCAGGACCGGGTGTCGGTCTGCGGGGGAGGCCTTCCCGCAGCAGGGGCTGCTGGCTGGCAACAACAGGGTGACTCACGGAGCCGTAGCAGGTCTATTTTTACTCCCCCGGCCGTCTTCTCTCTGCCTCCTCGGTGTGGGCTGTTTCTTCTGTTGTAAGAAATGCCCTGGCTCATGGAAGGGCTGCTCAGCCCAACAGTTAGTCTGGAAAGTGACCCTTCCAGGACTGCCGCGGGGACTGTGAACCAAGTGCCAGAGCCAAGCAGCTCCGTGGGAGTTGGGAAAAGAGTGGGCAGGCACACGGAAGGACGGGGTCATTTTGTTGCTGGTGGGAAATGTCAAACATCACCTTCTCCTGCTGCTTCAGATTTGAGGTGGCTAACAGTGGCTCTTGCTATGGCTTTCCCTCTCCCTGTCTCTCACAGTGGCCTCGGACCCTCTTTGGAGGTGACCACTCCCTCTGCCCCTCCAGCTACCCTTCACCCGCCATGGCAGGACCAGGGCTCATGGGTCCGTGTCCCGGCCAGATGTGCTGGCGGCTCCTGTCCGGAGCTCGCCTGCTCACAGCACAGTCCTCGTATCCCGCGGGCCCGGGAGGCAGGAGTGATGTGTGTGAGGCCAGCGGGAGCAGGGCCATGCGTGAGGACCACTTTCAGGAAGAGAGGCCCTCGCCTTTCCTCTGGCATGGTTCTCTTTGCCCCTGCTTGAGCCTCGAGGTTGGATGAGACAGAACAAAGTCCATCTGGGCACTGGGCTTGGGCCACAGTGACAAGAGCTGTCTGTGAGCTGAGCCCAGCCGGCAGCCTTTGTGGACGGGGCCTGGTGGGCCTCCCAGGTGGCTCGCAGGACACCTCCTGGCGCACCTGCGGAAGGAGAGTCTGTTCCCATGGCAACGACTGAGCTTCCCTCAGCCAGTGCTGCAAAGCAGAGACCTCTGAAGAATGAATTTTAAAGCCTTGATTTTAAAATATTTATCTGCACTGGGGAGAGGCTGTGTCCCCCAGCTTGCTACATACAGTGGAGTGGGCCGTGGGGCTGGGACTCCCAGCCGTGTCTTGCCCAGGCACAGGACAGGCAGGCCGCCTCCCCAACAGCTCCTTGGTTCCTGTGGGGAACATGTACATGCTGGCTAGGATGGCCAGGAGTCGAAGTGGCTGTCCTTTTACCCACATTCTGCTTTAAGAGCTGCCTGCGTTAGGGGAGAGTGGCCTTGGCCTCACATAGCCCATCACCCTGGAGAACGTGCAAGCCAGTCTTGCTCAGTCCAGGTACCCGGCCGCAGGCCCTCACGTTTTTGTCCAAATATCAGCTTTCGAAATACCTCTGCAACAAATTTGTGAAAAACAGCAACCCCACCCCTTCCTGCCTATCCCCACTCCTCGGCCTGTTAGTGTCTCCCTGACCCCAGTGTGCTCAGGGGCATTTCCTGCATCTCCCAAATGGGGAAGGGGCTGAGAAGGCACTGCAGGGCCCCAGGCTCCTCT